CCATCGCCCCTCCTCTTTCCCTCGGGGTTCTTCTTCTTCTTCTGCTGCTGCTGAGATACGAGAGAGAGAGAGAGAGAGAGAGAGAGAGAGAGAGAGAGAGAGAGAGAGAGAGAGAGAGAGAGTTGACTTTGAGACTTGGTGACCTTCGGGCATTGCCCAGTGCAGTGACATTAGGACTTGACATGGTATGAGCAGCGACATTGGGGATACATTGGAGACTGGGTCCATCGGGCTATGGTGACTGATCCTCCCTATCTCCCTCTTCCCCCTTCGTCTCCTCTCCCTCTTTCTGAGTGATGATGTATGTTGTCAGGTCCTGTCAATGTCCATGCTGAGTCAGATCTTGGTATTACAGTCTTCCACTGTGCTATTTTTGTATTGTCTCTGAGAGGTCGGTTCTCAGTTCTGATCGATGCCGATTAGGCATGCGACAGCCCACTTGGGTCTCCCAACCAGAATTGGGAGAAGCGTAAAAGTGTGTTATTGATGTAAATTTCTAACTTGCCAGTGGGAAGGGAACCGGACTGACACTCCTCAGAATGGACATGGAGCCAGAACCTTAAGGTTCTGTTTAGCAGTGTTTACCAAAAAAAAAAAAAAAAAAAAAAAAAAAAAAAAACTTTGGCCCCGTGTAAAGGACATCCAGTTGTTCACTCAAGTTCCCACTTCCTTTCCTTTCATTTTCTGGTGTAGTTAATCGTAGCTGTTCATGAGCTGCTATTGAACGCTGAACTAAGCATAAGCAGCAGATTACATGCAACGCTCAACTCATTGAAGAAATTCTCTGTTCCAAGGCCATGATTTCAGCATAATCTCTCTCTCTGCAGAAGCGGACACGACAGGGTCTATTTCTCAACTGCCTGCCTTTGCATCATTTATCATCATTCACGAAGCCATAATAATAAAACGAAATTTAATCTCAATATCTCGTAGCCAATTTCTCACTCCACAAGTACACTATGAGATAGTTTCGCTGTTACATCGATTTGCACATTCGGATGATAATTTAGATAATAGTCACAACACTTGACAATAGATGAAAGCAGAGGCAGCATACAGGAAGGGAGATGAGCATGGAGGGAGTGTTTAGCGAGCGAAGGACAGGAGAAAAAGAAGAGGGCAAGAACAAGAGTGTAAGGATAGAGAAGACGGGAGGATGGAGAGGGAGAGAAGAGGGAAAGGAAAAAGAAGAAAAAGAGGAGAAAGGAAAACCAGGAAGTAAACGAGGCGGACCCGCGCTAGCGCCGCTCGGTTAGTGCTCCGCTGCGTTCGCGCCGCGCCGTCTACTGGCCCTGTATGGGCGTCAGCTTGCACCATCACTGGAGTCCGCCCCTTCGCCATAGCCCGACTCACGCCGGACACCACGTGCATGCGCCCAGTGCGCGCACATCTACACGGAAACCGAGCAAGAAGAACATGTGAATGAAACGGCGAGGATTCGGGAAGGCG